TTAAATTCATATATAAATTATGTTAATTATATAAATAGGATTAGAATTATAGCAATATATTTAAATATATTATATTCAACATCAAGGTATGTCATTTTCATCATCTTATAAATAATTAGTTTTAAGTAATTCTTTAAATTCACCAAATTCAATGACTCCTGATCCATCAGTGTCTACCTCTTTTATTAATCCTTCTATGTCAATTGTTAATTCAAATTCATTTTTAATAATTCTGATTAGCTTTTCAGCATCAACATTTCCAGTAGTATCTTCATTTCCACCCATAGCTACAAATGCATCAATCATATCTTAATCATCATCTGAAGAACCAGCATATTTAAGTTTGGCAAATAAAGCCAAAAACTCCTTAAATTTGATGCGACCTCTATTTCCATCATCAATTTCACTAATTAATTTATGAACCTTATGAGGTTTCTACTTTAAACCAACCAATTCTAAAGCATATTCTAAATCATCAGCCATAATCTCACCTTCTCCTCTCTAATTAAAACAATAGATTTATTATATATACATCATCTAAATCGTTGAAGGCTATCTAACATTGTTTAATATCTTCTTCTTATAAATTCATATAATTGTATGTTTTTATTTAATATTAATATTTATTTTAGATTCAATTCAACTTATACATTAAAATGCAGTAAACATTGATTATCTTTATTTTCACAGATTTTTTTTAATAATATTGATTTATTTTTATTTGTTATGATAAGAAAATAATTTAACCCAAACAGTTGTAATTCAGGTGGGAAATAAACTATTGAAACATTACAAGAAAAACATTTAATAGCTCTTATCAATACAAGACCTAGAGTTGTAATCAAACCACCACATCCTCATGTTGATTAAAACAAACCATTCTCTATCAGTTTTTATTATATTCATATTATTTTAGAAGATAAATAAGATTTTACAGAAATTAATGAAACTTATCGTCGTGTTTAGGCTTTGAAATCAGGATATTCAGATTCTAAAATGCCTAAAACATTTAAAATGAAAGAAGCATTAAAGAGAAAAAATAAAGTATCCTAATTTATTCAAGAATAAGTATTAAAAATATAATAACAACAAGAATCATTTCAATAACATTAAAGCATTAGAAAATAATATTTAAGATATCTCTACAAGAACTTAAAAAAATATATAAAGGATTAAATCTAATTCAAGAATGCATAGTGTTGCTTCATCAATTAAGGAGAATTCAAGAATTAGCAAAAGAGAATGGGAAGAGAAATCTTCTCATCCTTTAGAATATGAATGGAAGTATATTTTCTATTTGAGTTATTTTGAGCGAAAAAAAGACCAGATTCAGCTTTTAGTAAATCAAAATAAAGTAAAGGTGACACAATTTTATCAAATGTTTTTTCATTTGATTAAAGTATATAAAAATAACAATAATAAACTGCAAATAAGAAGACTTAATAAGAGCTTCCTTTTGATCATGCTGATATTCCTTTAACTGAAGATATTCAAGATGAAGATTTTTTTATTTATACTGAAACATAAAAGAAATTGCCAAATGAAAATACAATATAATCTCCCCATTCTACAATTATTAATAAGAAAACTTAATCTACAACTAATGTAATAATACCATTAGTGAGACCAAATGAAAAGTTGAATGATGTGAAACGCAAAATATATCAAACTTTAATGGAATATAAAGTATGTTTTGATATCATTTTTATTATTCTATTAGTTATTTTAAAGGGATTAAGTTTATTAAATAGGATTGGCATATATAAACAAAAACCAATGGCTTGATGAAAATGAAATTCTTTAAGAGTGTAACAAAATATCCAAATAATTATATGGAGTTGAATGATATAAAACCTTTGACATTATTGTTTTAATAAATATTATTAATCCATCTATTCAATTCTTAATTACTTAGTTAAATATAAAGAGTTCCTATTTTAATAACTGAGTCCTTTTAATGACTTGAATAATGGATGTAATTCTATAATGCAAAGTTTTTGGAGAAATGTGAGAATATTTATTAATAAAAATTATAAAGTAAATCTTTAATTGATGGACATCGATCGTCATATAGCATCATTACTTTCAGGAGGATGTCTTCCAGAACGAGATTTAAAGCTTATTTGTGAAAGAGCAAAGGAAATCTTTTTAGAAGAGTCAAATGTATAACCAGTTAGAGCTCCAGTAAATGTTTGTGGTGATATTCATGGTATATTATTATTAGTATTGATTTAGGTCAATTCTATGATTTATAAGCATTAATTAAAGAAGGAGGAGATATTCCAGCACACAATTATATATTTATTGGTGATTTTGTTGATAGAGGATACAATAGTGTAGAAACAATGGAATATTTGCTTTGTTTGAAAGGTATTTCATTCATCTAAATAATAAATAGTTAAATATCCAGGAAATATTGTTCTATTAAGAGGAAATCATGAATCAAGATAATGCACTTAAGTTTATGGATTTTATGAAGAATTATTAAGAAAATACGGTAATAGTAGTCCTTGGAGATTATTTATGGAAGTTTTTGATTGTTTACCATTAGCTGCTTTAATCGAAGGTTAGATACTTTGTGTTCATGGTGGATTATCTCCAGATATGAGAACAATTGATTAAATTAGAACTATTGATAGAAAAGTAATAGAAATTCAATAATATTTAGATTGAAATACCTCATGAAGGTCCATTTTGTGATTTAATGTGGTCAGATCCTGAAGAAGTAGAATATTGGGCTGTAAATTCTAGAGGAGCAGGATTTCTTTTTGGTGCAAAAGTTACAAAGGAATTCTGTAGAATTAATGATTTGAAATTAATATGTAGAGCACATTAATTAGTTATGGAAGGATATAAATATTGGTTCCCTGTAATATTTCTATTACATATATTAGGATTAAAATTTAGTCACTGTATGGTCTGCTCCCAATTATTGTTATAGATGTGGAAATATAGCATCAATTTTATGCTTAAATGATTAATTAGAATCAACATGGAAAACATTTAAGGAAGTACCAGAAAGTGCTAAAAGTGTTAATCCAAAAAATGTTCTTCCATATTTCTTATGAAGTATTTTATTTAATATCGATACATTTTTTATTTATAAATCTATCCCCAATAAATTGATCAAATTAATATATTCCGAGATCAAAATAATAAATTATAAAATCAGATCTGTTTCTTGACTTTAAATATTATTTTATTTTTAATTTATGTTGTACATATTTTATCATTGTTAATTATGTTTTTACTAAATTAGAATTGAAATAATTATTCATTAATAAATAATTTATGTTGATTTTCTTATTATTTTAGATTGCATACCAATAATGTTTAGTCAATTCAGAAGCTTAGACTAATTTTTTTAAATTGTAGAATGAAACGATTAGATTAAATTTGTTCGATTATTTTTATGGGTATAATTTGGAATTTTCTACAGATTCAAATTATGAATTATAAAATGTGTTAAACTAATTAGACTTTTTATAATTAGAAGGAATAGTTATTGATAGTTCTTTATTGATAAATTAAAATACAAAAGAATGGATGAACAAGATTGTAACTTTAAACTAAATTAACCAAGCATTTATAGTTTATATTATAGGCATTAAAAATAATTAACTATTGATTCAAAATACATTATATATTCCACAATAATAAAATTAAGTAATTTGCAATGAAATTACATTTTTGGACAATTAATAGATTTTGGTAAACTGCTATTAAAACTTTGCTGGACTATTCTATTATTTTTTTTATGTTTCTTAAATTAATGATATTTTTTCATGGTAAATTTTTCAATATACTCCATCTATTCTTTAATATTAAGTTCAAATTTTTGACTTACAGGTAGCTTAAGATAATGATAAAAACCTACTAATTATTTTAGGTAAATATAACTAAGAATATTTGTTTGGAGTGGTAGAAATCTATTCTTATGAAGATTTAAAAAGTCAATAGACATTATCTCCAATATAGTTATTTAATCAATCCTATTATCGATAATATAAAATCAGTAATCAACAAAGTATAATAGAATAAAATATTTCTAGTTTATTTAATGAATATGACGAATGTGATTACTGTTTACTCTTTAAATAATTTTAGTTAAACTGAATTATATAATATTAGTGAATTAATTGATACAAAGTTTGAATTGTTAGCATTTGATGTTGAGTCATCCGAAGTAGAGAATTTACTTATATATACAACATTGACTGGAAAGAACTTATTGGAAATAACAACAATTGATATAATAAATTTTTATTTTGTGAGGATAGATTTTAATCAGACAGTGATTCCTTATTTAATTAGTAATCAAGAATTGATAGCATTATAAATAGGTGGTTAATACTATATATATGATAGAATAAATCCAAATATTATTATAAACACATAATCATAAAATTTGATCGGATTAAATCAATTACCATACAATCTATTAACTTATGAATCGAATGAGCTTTATTATTACTAAACTTTATAACCTCAGATTTTCATAACTTCCAATGTGAATTCAACTATTGTATTGATAGGTACATCAAATGAATAAGATGGATAGATAAATTGTTCAGTAACAATAAATGTGACAATTCATGGATTAGCTCCAGATTTATATAAATATGAAAAGGAGTTACCTTCTTAAATCATAGTTAAGAGAGATAAGACATATCTGAATGCTTTAAATTATTTTAGTGGATCATTAATAATGGTATCAGCAGAAGCATCAAAAGATTAGATAGATATTTCGGATCCATCACTTTAAGTGTAATTATCAAAAAAAGTTTGGAATCAGATAAATGGAGTTTTTTCTTTCTATTCTTAAGATTTTGAATCTTATGCTACATTCATACTACAATATTAATATATAAAAGACAAAATAAAGAACAGTTAAATATCATTAAGATTATGCGATATGGATTTATTAAATTATATTGAGTTAGAGGCAATGGAATGTAGAGATTATTAATAAATATTCATAATAAATGCACCAATCAATAAATTATAGTTTACAGATTTAACAAATCCTGATGAGGTTTATTTTGTAGCAGATATAGCATATAGTGCAGTTGTCATATACAAATTAAATTAATTTAATGCATTTAAATCAATATAAGCAGAATTTGTGTGTGAACCACTTCCAATAGATGAGTAAGATTATTTTCATTAAATAACAGATTTCTATGTTGTAGGTAGTTATCTTTATTTGATATTATCTCGAATATAATAAATATGGATATATGATTTATAATCTTGTAATTTAATGAATAAACTTACTAATGATTTTTTTGATGGTCCTTTTTTTCCATCATCTTTAGCTGGTAGAACAATTATTGATTAGAATAATAAGATGAGATAAATTATTTTTATTAATTCTTTATCATTTGTTTATGTAATAGAAATGTTCAATTGGATTCCAATTTATTAAAATAAGATTACAATGGATTAATATACAAATATTAAGACTCTCTCTGTAATTAAAGATTCTATTATCCTCGTAGTTTAAGAAAAGTTTGGTTAGACTTCAATATATGAGTATTTTTGTTCTATTGATTAACCAACTAATGAAATAAAATTCATAAAGAAATTACCATAATATGGAGTTACCATTAATAATAAATTTATTGTAGCATCTGATGATTCCCTATTTTATATTTTGATGAATAACAATTATTACTTTGTGTATAATCCAAATTTATCTTCTTAGGATTGTTTACTCTAATAATTAGATTATATAGGTGATTATATATCTCCTATTCACATTCCAAATATTTTAAAATAGAGCAATGTAATAATAGCTAGTCATACAAATCTTGTAATATATTCAATTACTAATCCAACTTATATATTGGTTGAATAGAAATTCATATTAAGTACATTTTAGAAAGAACAAATTGAATATAGTATAGAAATCCAATCTTAGATCAGTAATAGTTAAATCAATATTGAGGGATCATTCATAGCTTATGATACACTTTTTATTGGTTTTGTTAATCAAACATAATTCTTTTAGAGTAATCCAATTGATCAACCATATATTATGAGTAGTACTTAAATTACTTTAGATTTTTATTTAGGATAAACCATTCAAAATAATGTTGTTTCTTATTCACTATCAACTCCACTTTTTGATGGATCTCCATAAATTAATTCTACTCTTAAACATCCATTATCTCTACATTCAATTATTTAATAAACTCCAAGCGATATAAAACAGTTCACTTTTTAAACATAATCATCAAATGTATTTGCCTAAAATTTAGAATCTTTATATTAAGTTTTCAATACAGAATTTGTTGAATTAATAAATTATCAAAATTAATTTACTCATTGTTGGGCACTTATTTATTATACTCAATTATCTTAAGTTATTTCACTTTGTTCCCAATATTAATATTATACTTTTACTGTTTATAATTAAACCTAAAATGTTTCATAATAATTTTAGGCTTCAAATAAATTTTATTTTCCTCTAAAAATGGAGTATTATTCATAATTAATTTCTACCTTAGCAATTTAACAAGGAGATAGAACTTATTCAATCTTAATTGGGTAGCTTTCCAATAATATTTTCACTTAAAATCTTAAAATATAATGTTTAATTTAAAGTGCTGATTAAATATTATCTTTAGATATAGGAGATTTCACTATAGTTTAAATAAATGGAATGTTTCTATTTTTATATGTATGTCCATTATTACAATAAATTTAATATGCTACTATTTCATCTTCAGGCAATACAATACTTAATCAATCAATTATGCATATCTAAAATGAATTACCTAAAAAAGCTACCTTATAAGAAATCAAATTTATTCAATTTGAAAATTAATCAATGAGTTTTTTAGTTACAACTAAAGAATTCTATAGCATCATATTAACTGCCAACTATTCCTCCCCTAATTCATATATTGTCTTAAGTAACATTGTATCCTCTTAATAGATCGCTCCTATGCAATAATCATTTCAACAGCGAAACACCTATTATGTCAATTCATTCTTATTTACAACTTATCATGATGTTTCTATTGATACTTATTTTTTGGCCTTATATGATCTCAGTAATCCTAATTTTACTATTATTTACTCAATTGATACATTAAGATTCAAATCACCTATCCTCTATACTGTTTAAGCACCTTATAATACTGTACTCGTCATGGAAAGTATTCCAATTTTATTTTCTTTTAATTATTCTAATCAACTATAATTAAAAATTCATAATATCACTTAAACTTCTTATGCTATTCCATTATACATTAATATTGATTAAAAATATGGACCTAATGATATTATCACTTTACAATTTTAATACCCTTAAATTGGTTAAACTGAAAATTGGGTTAAATATACATGTATTGGAGTAGGATGCTTATATGTAATTACTTTGATTATAATTATTATTGCCCTTTAAATCAATTAAAAGAAAAAGCAATCCTCTGAAGATATGCAAGCATTAGAATTGAATTTAAGATGAAAAATTTGTTTACAATATAATTTAATCTAAACCTATAAACCCTTCTCTCATAAACTTTCTGGATTTATCCCTAATACTTTACAAGCCTTTTAATAAGCTAACTCAGCTATCTCTATTTTTCTATTTGTATTTCTTATTTTATAGACTAATTCCTCTTCTTTTCTTTTTTATAATACATAAGTCATTGCCTTTTAACATATATCATTATTTATACCTTTGGAATATCCTCATTTGTTGCATTATTTACTTACTCCAATTATATTGCAAACTTTTTCTTTTTCTCTGTTAAAGATGATATCTGTCTTTTTACTTTTTTTATTTATTCTTATGTTTTTGCTATCTTTTTATTTTTATCATCAATCTCTTAAATTAATTTATTGCATTAATCTATTTCATTTTATAATTAATTTCTCTCTTCTATTAATATTGATGATATCTTTCCTGTTGCTATTTTCAAACCTAACAATTTCTTGTTTTTTTCATCTATTTATTTAACATATTTTTTATTTTCTATTTACAATTAATGAAAATCTATAAATTTTAAATCATCTCCCATTTCTTCCTTCTTTTAAATCTGATTACTAGTTTTCGTTATCTATTATTCAATATTTGCTTTTTTTTATTTATATTTTTCTATTTATGCATCCTAAAAATCTTTACTATTTTACTTTTTAAGCTAACTTTTCCTTAAAATATTTCTCTATTCTTTCAGCCTCAATCTTTCCTGTTCTTGTATTTTCTCCTGCAAATAATATTTCTCTCTAAAAATCAAAAGCATCCTTTCTAATTTCAGTAATTGCCTTATCAGTTTCCTCTAAAATTGCCTTTATTTATTATTATATTTCATACTCTTAAAGTTTCTAATATTTAATCTGATCTAATTCTTCCCTCCTCAATATTCTTTTTCAAAGTGTCACTCTCAAATTAAGCAATCTCATACTTCTCTTCATTTGTCAATTACATTGTCTAATCATTACAATATTTAAATAAACCTTTTTATCTATTGGCTTATCTTTTTTCTTTGTTTTCTATTTCTTATCTTCTGCTTCCTCCTCTCTTTATAAATCTTTAGAATTTCTCATTATATATGATTCAAATAATAAATTCTCTCTTCTAATCTATTCCATATCCTTATAAAGACCTTCTAACTTTTATGACAACTCTTCAATCAAAATTAGTTCCTTTTCCTCCTCAGTTATGCCTTATTATTATTCTTATATCATAATTAATTAATATTATTATATTACAAATTAACGATGAAGAAGAATGCTCCGAATATATCAAAAGTAGCATCAGATTTAATTCTGGCTTATCAATAGTTAACAAGTCAATAAAAAGAAATTATCATATCCCCAAGATATGAAAAAACAGCATTATATTTTCCACAATCGCGTACTATCTAATTATAAAAATGCCTTAGCAATCGAAGAAAATATTGAAGAAGAAAATTAAATTGATAGTCCTAGAAAAACTATTATAGAAGACGAGGAGGATTACCTTACAGAGATTTCTGAACTTAGAAAAATAGTAGATTAAAGTATTAAATTTTAATAAAACAGTGAGAATGAAATATATGAACATACCTTAAAAATATAGCCAGTAGCCTTTATAAACAAATGATTAAAATACTATCTGTTCACCCTAACAAAAAAAACCAAAAAAATAAGTTATCATAACATAATACTAATCCGATTTTTTAAGGCAATAATATGGAAAGCTTAAGTGAGTGTTTATAATTTATCATCCCTTTCTGTTTCTATATATTGCAATTTTAAAGGAATATTTAATCATAAATCATTTAAATTTTTGGTTCTCAGATCTAGAATAGCACTAAAATTATTCATAGTTCAATCTTTTTCTCTTATTTCTAGTACTAAAATCAAAATTACCTATTAAATTTATAATTTTTCTCATCTATTTTATCATAATTTTTTAAGAATAATTTATAAATACTGAATGAAAAATGTGTTATCAATAGCTTTTAATCAATAAGAAAAATTGAATACAATCTTAATTCAACTCTAATATTCTTATTATTTTTTCTTTTAAATTGAGATTTTTAAATTCTAATATTCTAGATTGGTTTTTCTCATAAACTTTCTATTTTTAGACCTTTTTTTATCTTTAGAGGAAATATATTTAAGCAAATGAACTTATTTTTAAGTTTCATACTGGCTTCTCTCTATTTAAAGATTGTTAAAAATAAAATGCTATTTAATCTTATTAAATAAATTTATAAATTTTATCTTGGCTTAAATTAATGACCAGAATATTTTTTACTAAAATATGCAATATATTAATTTCTGATTCAAATAGTTATTTATTGTCTCATGTATTTTTTGGAAATAATCTAATAAGAGAATAATCAAGATTTGTATATTTTACAAAAAATCTATCCAAAATTAACCAACCATTTTGATAAATTTGAACATTTGGCTATCATCTTTTTGTAAATATTATCATATTTAATAGTTTTACTAATAGAGAATATTTAATTTTATTGTAATTAATATTTGTAAAATCAAGAGATTATTTGTTAAATGACTAGTTAAATTATCAAAAAATTTGTTTTTTTTTTTTATCTTAAAAAGCTTAAGAGTCTTTAATTATGTTTTCGATCGCATATTTAATAGGAATTTTTAAATCCAATTTTTTACTTTAAGAGAAAATTTATTGCTTAATAGCGATAGTATATTTGTAATTCTAAAAAGCAAAATTATATTTTTTAGGTAAAGGAGAAGAAAATTTTTAATTTTAGTATAATTATTTGATAAGTTTTGATTTAATATATAATTCTAATTCTATTAAAAAAATATTTATTCCAACAAAGAATATTTTCTTGGATTTTAATTTAAATAATATATTTGAAACTAATCATACATGAAGGAATATCATAAAAAATAATTCTATTAAATGAAGAATATTTTTTTAGATTTTAATTAATAAAATGTAGAAACAAAAAAAAAATATTATTCTATTATATGATTTCAATATAAGAATATTTTTTTGGAATTTAATTCAATTAAAATAATTGGAACAAAACAAACATGAAGAATTATTCTCATTTTTAATTTAAGCCAATTTTTTTGTGATATACATTCTTTGATTATAATTTTTTATTATATATATATCAAAATTAACTTATTATTTTACAAAAATTTTTAAATTTTCATAAACAAAGAAATCTTCATTCTAATTATAATGTAAATAATAATGATTCTATTTTTATTTATGCTGCATAATTTTCAAATATATTTTGGTCTTCATAATCATATTATTTTTTATATTGACAAATGAATAAGATTATGATACTTTATGAAAGAGTATTAAATGAAATTTAGTTTGAAATGGATGCTGCAATTGAAATAAATAAATATTTGAGATAATTAAAAATAATTTTTATAATAATGAATAATGCCTAATAAAAAGTATTAAAATTGTTCAAATCCTGGATTTTTAAGGAATTAAAAAAATATTTTGAATCACAATAATAAATATATAAATGACTTAAGACTCAAGTAAGAGTGGGAATACAAACCCAAATCCAAGTGTCAATTTCAAAGAAGTAGCTAACAAGGCTTTAAGATCAGGATTATCAGGAAGCATGGCTATGGCAATATAAGTGTGTTCATTGATGTGGCTGAGAACGACGATGAATTACTAATATCGATATGGTGGTACAATCATTGGAACAATAAAGCATTTATATGGACAAGGTGGAATCCTTAGATTTTATAAAGGTAAAAAATTAATATTAAATTTAGGATTGGCACCTGCATTGTTATAAGGGCCTTTATCTAGATTTGGAGATACGTTTGCTAATACTCTTTTCTTAACTTTAATGGATTCTTTTGAATCAACTAGAAAATTGCCAGTTATGATTAGAGCAGCAGGAGGATCAGTTATGGCTGGAGTTTTTAGAATAGCTTTAACTCCAGTTGATACTGTGAAAACAATTCTTTAAGTTGAAGGTAAAAATGGATTAACGATACTTCAATCAAAAATAAAAGTAAAAGGATTTCCCGTACTTTATCATGGTGCTTTGGCTACGGCATCAGCTACAATTGTAGGACATTATCCATGGTATCATTTCGAATTAACTTTAGGTTTGCAACTTTCAATCTTCTTAATGAAAAACTTCCTGATTATACAGATAAAAAGAAAAAACTAGCAAGAAGAGCTTTAATAGGGTTTTGTAGTTCAGTCATTTCAGACACTATCTCAAATTCTCTTAGAGTTATTAAAACTACAAAACAGACTAGTCAAAATCCTATTACATATCAAGAAGCTGTTAATTTAGTATTAGAAAAAGATGGTGTAAAAGGACTTTTTGGAAGAGGTTTAAAAACTAGAATTCTTACTAATGGATTATAAGGGTTACTTTTTAGTATTCTTTGGAAAGGATTTGAAGATTATCTTAATAAAAGATCATCTTAACAGTGATTATTTATATTATATTATTAATATTAATTATCAATTATAAAATATATTTAGAATTGATTTAAGCATATTAAAATAAATGTTTAAATAATTAATTAATTATAATATAATTGTTTCTAAAAATTTTAAAACAGTAGATAATATCATTCATTTTAGAATAAGAATTTCATTTAAATATTTGGAAATTCAAATACTGTATATCCTTTGATCATCTATTCAATTGTAAAATTAGGGTCAATAAATAAAGTTTGCTTTTGATGGCTATTTACTTAGTTTAATTTTTTCTTTTGATTTTTAAATTTATATTCATCTTATTCTGTAAAATCTAGAACTTCATAAGATTACCAATTTAATTAAATTTTTCCTTCTTCAAAATAACATTTTAATGAATCTCTTGATGTATTTATTTTGTATAAATCTAATAATTTAGAATCAAATAAATCTTGTTAAAGAATGGCATCTAAAATTGTTGTCTTTTATGATATAGGTTTTGTAACATAATAAGTATTTAGATACTAAATTTCTAAACACCAATGAATTTATTTATCCTTTATTGAGTAAAATGATAAATTCTGTCTATGCTTTTTCATTATTTTTGGTGCTAATATAACATCTACATTCATTTTTCTTGCATAATGTTTTAATAATTTATATCTCATGGCATCTGGTAAAGCAGTAATACCAACAAGTTTTTTTTAAATCATCTCTGTATTTTGCATCACATTATTAACATAATTATAATCCCTTTAAACCAAAAGTTCTGTAATTTTATTTGGTTACTTAGATGGATCTCTAATTCCATTACAATTATAAATTTGCTTATGTTTTTTACAACAATCTAATGAACATGTCTTAGTTTCACATTATGGGCATTTATATTTATCTGGTTTCCCGCACATCTTACATAATTCTGAAATTTCTCCATCTTCCATCATTAATTAAAATAAATAATTATATAAGTATTAAAAAAAAAGAATTAATCCTTCAAATTTTACTATAAGAATTTATTTCTTTTGACTTTCATTTTAAGCTAAACCAATTCAACCAATTCTAATTAGCCTTTATATTGTTTCAAAACTTTCTTCAAATATTTTTTCCTTTATGATATACCTTTTATTGATTTTTTAACTATTAGATAGTGAATGATTTTCTCTTCCAAGCTCATTCCTTAAAAAATATGGTTTTTATCTTCTAAGTGATATTTCACTTTTAATTAAACTTTTAGTTCTTAAAATCTTCACTCTTCAAGCTGATTCTATTTTACCAACATTTAAGAGAGTTTAATATGAATTCTTAAAAAAGTGTGACAATTTATTTGTATGTTTCTGTCTAGCGTTAATATGTAATTGATTTCTGAAAAATATTTCTGATGTTGAAATTCCTTTTTAAAATCATTCGTGATTCTACACTTATAATTATATATATATTCTTTATGCTTAAGTACTTTAATTATAAATATACTTGTTTCTTTTAATCTAAATTAATTAATCGTTTTATTTATTGATTTCGTTTTTGATTTCGAAATATTTTATTTTTTCAGAGAAATAAACTTAAAAAAGAATACTAATAAAATATTATTTCTTCGTATTTTTGTTTTATTGATACATCTTTACTAAATTTAATTAATCATTATTTTATTATTATATGTTGAATGAATACGATGATTAATTGTAATAAAATATTGATTAATTTCATTACCTAATAGTAGATACTGATTGTAAAGAGAATGAAAAACAATAATATTTAAATTAATGCAAATAATAAGCAGAAAAAATAAAAAAACTAATTTAATAAAGAATAAAGTTAGGAAATGAAAATTAAACAATGAGATTCATGAAATAATTTTCTTAATTAAACAAGAAGTTATAAGAAATGGAATATAATTATTAAGATGAAAATGTTAGTTTAATTGTTTAAAATAATCAAGATCATCAATTAGAAGTTTAATTGTTTGAAGATAATGTAAACAATAGAAAATAGCGCTTACAAGGTATTCATAAAAATTTGAGTAAAGTATAAAGCATATACGAAAAAATATCTTCATTAGCATTTTAATAAGTAGATTCAATGCTTTAGGTTGAACAGGATTTTATATATACTGAAAATAAAACATAAAAAGCATCTCAAGAGTTAACTAGAACTTAACAATCTTAAAAATCTAATGTTGGCTACAGGTTTGTGATAATCTGTATCTTAGTTTTTATAGTTATAATTTTATTCATAAAATGAAGATATATAAATTTATTTTTTAATAATAACAGTAAATTATAAATATTTAATATATATTTGCAAATTTGAAAATAATGAATGAGGAAAGAACTTAATTTGTTGAGTGGAAAAACGAAAAGGCCACTTTATTATAAAAAATACAAATACAAGAAATGTGCATACAAGAAGCAAAATAAAGGGAAGAAAATCTTAGAAGAATGAACGAAATTTTTATAAAAACCTTAAATCAGCCATAAAATGAGAATATATTTTAGAAGTTTTAAAAATCCTTTGAATAAAATGAAATTGAAAAGCAATAAGAAATAATAAATACTCTTTAAATTGAGAATAAACTCTTAGAAAATAAATTATAAGATAAAGAATATTAAATAAAAGCAATTATTATAAATAATGAAAAAGAAATTGAGAGATTATAAAATAAAATTATTGAGTTAGAATACTTGTTAAATAATAAAGAAAATTATAATTCATAAAATGAGTTTCAAATAAATTCATAATTAGAAGATGATAAAATATATGTAAGTCGAAAAAGGAATTAAAGTCCGTCACATCCTACAACAAGGATTAGGACAACTCAATAATTACAATAAATAGCAAATAATAAGTTTGAAGAGTAAGTGGTACTAAAAGATTCAGGAGAGGTTGGCAGTTGTATGAATAGAATTAAACCAAATTTAGAGAAATAAATAAAGGAAATCTAAAGTAAATTATACAATACAAAAAAAAAAATAACTACAAATACGGAAAAAGAAAACTCTTTTATAAGATAATCTATCCAAAAAATAAAACATGTAATAAATTTTAAGTATTTTAGAGATCACGTAATCATTCAATATCTGTAAATGAAACAGGATTTTGTGATTAAAGATCTAATTTGGATGATTAGATAGAATATAAGACAAATTAAACAAATCAATCTTTAATGTATAATGTCTTTAGATTTACTTGAATTAATTAATTAATATCATAATAAAATCAATTCATTATTCAAAAAGTTCGTTGTTTGTATAGTTACTAATCTATTCAGCATTTTATTCATTTGTTATTAATTAGTTTTTATTGTCTTTTTATTAACTCTTTTTAGTTTCTTAATATCACTAAATTATTTGAATAAAGAATACCCTTTAACAGTTTCACAAGATTTCATTATCTAATTGCAATAAAGTGTAGGAATAGAATTAATTAATTAAGGAAATCTTTCCTCAGTTGATATTTAAGTTAATTCTGTTCTAGTGGTTTAATGTTTATTTATTTTCGGAAGATGATCTTCATCATTATCTAAATCTAAAAAATGTTTTAAGAATTTTTCAGTTTATAAGACATTCTTCTTATCAACTTTATTGAATTCATATCCATATCCAAGTAAATCATAATTTCGATTTACTGCTTCTTATAATTCATTTTATCTAGCTTTCATTGCCTGTTCTCTAATTATTAATCTATTACTTTATTTGGCTCCAAATCTTAAAGTTATTAATACAATAAAGTACTTAGGATTATCTGAGACTTTTTTGATAATTAAGAACTTCTCTAATTACTTTATTTTTTAATCGTATTTCATAAAAATATTATGCTTTAGACAGAAACAAAATCATCACTATATGCATCGAAATTAATCTAACAAACAAATTATTCTGCTTTATCATCTTTACCAAAAACTTATATAAGATAAGTTTAAGCTGAAGGTATTCTTTGATGAAGAATATTTTAGGTGATATATTTATGGCAGCTCCTTAAAAATGTGCTAATATTTGGAAAGAGTTTAGAAGAAATGACTTTACATAAGTTTAAATATCTTATAAAACAGCACTTTAAGTTTTTGATGCTTGCAAAGATGATATTTAATCAATGCTAAAAATTAATAGTGGAAAAGATTTTTTTGATTTATTTGATTAAGATAATGATGGGTAACACTATAGATGATCTTATAGATATTTAAATGAAGATGAATAAATTCTAGTTTTTAGTATAATCAAAGAAAAAATGTAATAAGTTGCAAATTTATTATTATAAATTTAATAATATGTTCCATTCAAATAATTGATGAAATCTATAAGAACTTTAGAACAAAATATTTGTGAATATTAAGATGTATTAAGATAAAAAATTTATAAATCAGAAATTGCTACATATAAAGAAATAGGTTTAGAAAAATTGGATGATTTTTATGAAAAATATTACAATAATTTTCAAAATTTTGAATAACAAAAATAATTGAGACTGTAAATATGAAATATTTTATATTAGTTAAACACAAATAATATAATAATAAGAAGAAATGAATTAATTGGAAGAAAAACTATCAAAAAATACAGAATTTCTTAAAGTGAAGCCTAAAAGAAAATTGAAAGATTTGCAAACATAAGAAAAATTAGTTTCTTTAGATGAAAGAGTAGAAGAAGCCATGGATTTTAGAAGAGAATTAAAAAACATGGAAAAATAAGAGTAAGAAAGGGTTGCTTCTGAATAATAAAAACGTATAGAACGTTAAAAAGAGGAATTAGAACGAAAACATTAAAAATAAAATGATTAACTTAAAGCTAAATTAAGTGAACAGGAACATAAATTAATAATTTAGCTAAAAAAAGAATATAATGTACTTTTAAAACAAATTGGATTACATAGTAATGAGATTGAAAGAATATAATCATCTGCTATGTAAAGTGCAATTCGTAAAGGAGATAAAGAGGGAGAATTAAAAAGAATGAAAGAAAGAACAAGGATTTAAAATTTTATAATAGGAGAAGCTAAAAGTATTTTGACAAGTCCTCGAGTATAATAATAAACTGCAACAACTTATGAAGAAACTTCTAGTTCATCACCTAGATAAACTTTAACAGCATCAAAAAATGAAAGAGCAACACATGATATAAAAATTCTTATTCATAAATAGAATTATACTCAATTTTACATTAAAAAGAAGTATGGGGCTGTAATTAATAATCTTATATATATAGGATTTACCTGTTAATTATTAACCAGAGCCTTATAAAGTATAAGGGGATAATCATGAACGAATTGAAAAAATTCTCTCAGTAAAGAAGAAAAATCCTCATGATATTTTACCTTCTCTTACAGAATTGTATGACAATGATATGAAAGAATAAGTATTTTATAATCATATAAAAGAATTTTGGAAATACTTAAAAATCAGAATAAGAATTAATTAAGGAAAGATTGAAAAAAAAATAGTATATATTAGAAAAATTAGAAGAGTCAACTCGATGATTTTTTAATTAAAAGAATCATTGTTCTATATATATATAATTTATATAATTTAACCTGTGTATAATAGATTTAAATGCTTTCAATTATTAATTGCTTTAACAATTTTCTAAAGTTATATAGATAATTTACATAAATGAATTATGAGGAAAGCCTCTTTTAACATTTAAAGCATACTACTAATAGACAATTTTCTTATAATTATTATTTTATTTTATTTATATGACAATCAGTACAAACCATGGTATTACAAGCTTCATGATTTATAAAGTGAGCTTTTTTTATTAATATTTTATACATTTAAATGATTCGCATTATTCACATTTTTGACTTTATCCTTTAAAATTTTTTTGATTTTATTTGTCATATTGTTCAACCTAATTGCAATATATTGAATAACGTTACTAGTTTTTTAATGATGAAAAGTGTAACCAAATTAATTATATAAAGTACATCAAGTGTAAAGGCTTTAATATGTATTTCCCAATAATCGGAAAAATTAATTTTTTGTAGTTGCTAATAGAAGGGAGCATTTTCTCTAGCATCTTTGCAGTTTTTGATGTGGTATTTAATTTCTTTTTAATTTTAAGGAATTTAAGCTGAACCACAGTCAGTACACATAAAAGGATCAAAACTCAATAAAAATTCTTCATATTCATCAGAATAGAATTCCTTCTTTTAAAAATTTTAATTTATTTCATCAACCAATATTTCTAATGTTGACTTTAATCCAATGAGTTCATAAAATTAGTAATTTTCAATATTATTTAAATGTTGCATTTAATTAATAAAAGGTGACTTCTCTTTACATATTTAGCAAGAGTGCACATGTTTAAAGTACAAATTATGATCTAATTTAATTCTACTTCCACAATTTGTAATATATCTAGTTTCTTATGCTTGGGGACCTAAAATATCAGAATAATTCATAGAAGTTAATAGAAATAAATTTTTTTGTTATTTTTAATTATAAATTAAATGAATAGAAGTTAATAATAATATTTGAACAAATAGTAGAACTATATCTAAGTGAATGATTAAAATAGTGATTAATTATAGGAGAACTTAGAAAGATTAAGTAATATAATGACAAAGAAACCGTCTTAAGTTAAGATAGTTCATGTATAGATGCATGGCTATTTGAGATCACCTTCTGCTCATCTTTCTATGCAAACTAGAGATACTCCAGCTTCAAAACTTAAATCAATAGGTTAAGTAGATTTTGAAAAAAGTAATGATAAAATGGTATAGCAATTAAATGCAAATTTAAGAAAATCTTTTCTAAATGTTACTAATCATTATTTAGAAAACTCAAATTCAAATTGTAATTAAAGTCAAAAATCAAGGAATTATAATAGTTGGATAGGATTAAGTGTGATTGAAAGAAATAAAATCTTTATTGAAGAAAAAGAAAAAAAGTTGAAAAGATTAAAAGAATAGAAAGATGAAAATGAAATTAGTTAATGCACTTTTGCACCTGCCTTTTTTAATTAAATAAGAGTAGAGAGAAACAAATCATGTTAAGTGAATAAATCCTATTAAGATATCCATCAATAAAAAAAACTTCATAATTCAAGATTATATTGACAATATTTTATATTGTTTTATATTAAATATATATACCATTCAATATGTAGAATTTATCAGCTTCTTGTTTTATGTAAAAACCAGATAAATAGTTTTACTATAATTTACTTAGGTAAGAGTATTTATTACAAACAAAGCCAGAAATTGATATTGTAAATTAAGCTGTCCAAATGTATAGGTAAAAAATATTGAATATTCTTAGAAAATGTGTTGAATATTTTGATAGTTTATAAGATCCAATCAAATATTATTTTTTGGAGAAAATTTAAACTGCTTTAAGTGAAACAAAAACATTGAGGTTAATAATTAATACAAAAAATGAGTTAGCAGATTAATCAATTAGGAAATCTACAAAATTAAGTTTTACTGCAGAAAAAAAGATTAATGAGATTGATTAAATTCAAATTAAAAAAGCAAGAGCTTAATAAGTAAATTTAATGATTAAAATGAATAACGAAGCTGAATAATAAAGCGTAAATGTAAATTAAATATTTCACATAAAAGGTTTAAAATATGATGAATAATTATGTGGATGAAAGGGAAAATGTAGAAAAAAAATTAAAGTAAGATTTAGATTGCTAATAAAATAATATTAATGTAAGATTAATGAAAAGAAGAATGGCATAGAGGAATATGACTGTAAGCCATTCAATGTAATAATTAGCTTGATTAACTTATATCTAATTAAATATATGTACAAAAAAACTAATCATTATTGTTGTTATTATTATTATGACTATTTTCTAGCTTCTCCTAATCTTAACTTTTCTAATTATTTTTATTTCTTTTTCATTTTTTTTGTCATTACTTATGGTTCTTAAACATCTTTTTTGATTTCTTCTTTAATAGGACCATGATTAATTTTTTTTAATTTTGCATAAAAGAATCCATCCATATTATGAACATGAGGATAAATACGTTCTAAATTTAATTTAAATCTTACTTGCTAAATTCATTGAAGAATGAAACTTTTTATCTTCAAATTTTAATAGTCCTGGATTTCCAACTTATAAACCTGTATCAATAATTTTTACATGTCTATTATTTAATGCATATTATAAGACAACTTCATTTTCATGTACACTAACTGAACAAGTTGAATATACAATAATTCCTCCTTTTTTACAACAATCAATAGCTGATAATAATAATTCTTTTTATAAATGAGAATGTTTTAAAATATCTCTCATTTATTTTTAGGCTTTAATAGATGGATCCTTAGAAATAATACCTAAACCTGTACATGGTGCATCTAACAATACTCTATCGAAATTCTTCATGACTTTTGGAAATTTGCGACCATCATAATTTGTAACAATACAATTAGTAACTCCCATTCTTTATAAATTATAAAATAAAGCTTTTTCTCTATCTTTACTAGTATCATTAGCAAATATAACTCCTGAATTTTTCATCAATTATGCAATATAAGTTGTTTTACCTCCTGGAGCAGCAGCCATATCGAGAATTCTTTCATTCATTTATGGAGCCAAAGCTAATACTGGAAGAAACGATGAAGCACTTTAAAGCATATAATGACCTGATAAATATTCTGGAGTAGCACCTATAGGAACTTTGGATTCATAAATAACCAGACCTACTTTAGTCCAATCTCCAACTGAATCTAAATTAACTCCTCTTTGCACTAATGTTTATGCTAATTCCTTTCTTCTTGTTCTTAAAGTATTAACTCTTATAGTAATTGGTCTTGGAGCATCATTTGCATCTAAGAATGCTACCAATTCGGCTGGTTTAAACATTGATGAAAAATGAGACATCAAATCTTAATTGTATCCATAATATGTGCATAGATGTTTTCTTAATTCATTTAATAATTCTTCTCTACTATATTTCCCATAATCTTTCTGTTTTAGTGCCTCTATAATCTTGTTTATCCTATTCATTACAGCATTCAGATCTGTTTCAAATAACTAATCATTTAGATCTTCCTCTTACTAGAATGATTCCATTTATTCTTCTTACTACTCCTCTACTTCTTACTATTATTATTTCTTTATTTTCTTTTATTTCTTTGGTTCTTCCTTCTCTTCTACTATTTCTTACTCATCTTCTTCATTCTATTCATCATCTAAATCTTCTTAGTTATCTTAGTTATCTTAATCATCTTAATCTTCTTAGTTATCTTAATCATCTTAATCATCTTAATCATCTTAATCTTCTTCATCATTCATATCATTATTCTCATCATCTTATTATTCTTCTAATTGTTCTTATTATTCATCTTAATCTTCTTCTAAATTTAATTATTCATCCTCTGATTTAATCTATCTATATGAAAATGAATTTACATCTTTATCGTCATCACTTTTTAGTTCTATTACATCATTTTGCATTAGTTATTAAGCATATTTTTATGCTAATTGTAAAGTGTGTTTAGAAAATTATGCCTTTTTATTGCTCATCACAAATTAATTATTATTAATTATTTATAATAATCATCTTTTTTGTTTCTAATTACCCAACATTTTTGCAATAAATTCTTCTGTCTCTTTTTTTTCAGATGTATAATGAATTTTCTAAGCCACATTAGCATATTCAGTTAATCCAGTTGCACTGATATCCAATAATCCATTTAAAAAATGCTTAAACATAGACTTCATTTCTTAATTTTTATCATTTACATAAGTTTAATAATTTTGAGACAACGTTTATGATGCATAATATTTATCTCTTTTTGCTTCATCATGAGTTCTTTCTATTTTTGATAATTTTTCATCATTTTTAGATTTAGCAATTGCTCTTTTCTCATTCCACTCTAATTCTAATGTATTTTTTAAAATGTATTATTAAAGATTCTGTCTAACTTATTTAATTTATTCCAAATGTCCATTTAAACTTGGTATTATTCTTTTTTCTAATAATTTTAAGAAACCGAAATCAGATGGATCATCATCCTTTTTTAATTTTTAAATAACATTAAAAAAAGCTTTACCAAGTTCCATATATATTTCTTTTAGTTTGAAAATCTTTTCTCTCTCTTTTTACATTTATTCTAGAGTTTTACACAATTCATTGTACACATTATATCTTTTCCTCTCAACATCAATAATTGCATTAAAATGACTTTTCAACTCTTTGATTGTCTGTTCATCGTAATCCAAATTTGCTTTGATCGTATCATGCTAAACTGAATTCATTATTTATTAATAATAAATAAAATTCAAATAAATGTTAAAAAATACACCCTCAAAAGTAACTCTAAATTATCAAGAAACCCAAGAAGAAACTGACCCTGAGGGATACACTCTAATTTATGAATAAGAAATAGTTTGTTAAATAGTGGTAGATGATGGAGAGTAATAGTAAACACAAGAAACATTGAATGTGAGAGTTTTAATTTTGGGAAGTGAACAAACCCTTGAGAAAATGAAAATAGAATTAAGTTGCGAAAATGATTTGTTCTTTCATTTTATTCATGAGTAGGGTTCTTGAATTATAATTAGCGTGAATGAAGAAACATTCCAACAGATAAAAGAAGGATAGTAATTAACAGCCTCCTTTATAGATTATCCTGCTATCTGTGTTAAATGTCTCGACAAAGCTCACAAAGACCCTAATAAGTACAGTGCTATATTAAGAATCACTTAAGATGGTGATGCTGTTATAGAAATAATATAACACACTGAATACAAAAATGTAGAATTGATCTAATTCTAATTTGTCTCTTTACCTGAAGAATCCATTCGAATGGCCATTACCAAGAAATATTAGAAAGTTAAATAGAAGCTCCAATAAATGGAAAACAAATTAAAAGACGTATTAATTTTTTATTGAATGTCATTTAGATTAATGATGTTGTTAAAGTAAAAAACCCTCAACTGCTATTACAAATGCAAAGAATGAACAGATGAAATACATTAAAAAATGACTATTCATTCGATTATTATAATTTATAATAGTAAATTAAAATGGCTGATGAACCAGATGACTTTAAGCCTGCTCTTAAAACTGTTTCTGCATCCATAAACACTACAATGGCTATTTCTGAGGATGGTGATCTATATGTTTGGGGTAAAACCTATCTCAAAAATAAAAATGTTAAGCATCTTCCTACAAAACTAGGATTGCCCAATCAATATTTATTTTATAGAGTTGTTCATGTTTCATAAGGTTTAAATCATGGTGCTGCTATATTATAATCATGTTTAGATAAGGAATGTGAAGGTGTAATTCCAAATCAGAAAGGTCAAGTACAAACAATATTAGGAATGGTTTCAGATTAAGCTAAAAAGTTAAAAGAAAATGCAGAATAACAATAACAAAGTGAATATTTTTTATAGTAATGGGATTAACCTTTTAAAGAATTTTTTAAATAGAAAAATTGCAAAACAATCTTATCCTTATCAGAGTTTAGATAATTTTATAGATAGGACAAACATTTAAAAAATATAAGTTATTAAAATATATCAGAAGTTAAGACTATATTAGGTACAGGAGATGAGGCAAATAAAGATGAGCCAAATGCCTTTGAGAAGTTTTTCATGATGGAAAAAGCCAAAGATGGAAAACCTGAAATAAATATTTGTTACTATTATCAATAATTGACTTAGGAGAGTAGACCTGAATATATTGCAATAGTATGGGGAAATCCAACAAATGGTAGATTGGGAGCACCAAAATCGAAATTTCCAAATGAATCTGATAAAACAACGATTTTTAATAATAATAATGCATCTTAAATGGATTTTGCTAGTCGTTAAATGGCTAGTCGTTAAATGCAATAACCATCAAGAACATAATAAGTGCAAAATTCATAATTTAATTTAAATTAAGCCGAACCAAATAGTTCTGATTTTATTTAGCCAATAGCACTTAAATAAGAGTTTTTAAAAATAGTTTGTGGACACCATCATACTATGGCACTCACAGAGGAAGGAGCATTATTTATATGGGGAATGGGAAGTTAAGGATGTTTAGGAAATGGGAGAGTGGATGATTTAGAAATACCAACATAAATTGATATATTTGGATTGTATTTTAATGAAATAGCTGCAGGAGCATATCATTCTTTAGCATTAGCTAAGAATAATTAAGTATATGGATGGGGTGTTAATAATAGAGGTTAATTAGGTATAGGAAATAAAGAAAATTAATTATTACCTAAATAATTAACATTTTTTGATAGAAAGAAAGTGTAATGTCAGTATCTTTTTTGTGGAGATCAACACTCTGCTTGTATTACTACAAACAAAGAACTTTATACTTGGGGAAATGGAGATTATTATCGTTTAGGTCATGGAATGTTATTGGATGAGATGGAACCTAAAAAAATAGAAATACTTTAGGATGTTTATGTCTTAGATGTTGCTTTGGGTACTATTCATTCCTTATGTATAACAAATGAAGGATTTGTTTATGCTTGGGGTAGTAGTAAAGATTCAGTGTTGGGAATGCCAACTTAATTATATAAAGATTAGACTTTACCATAAAGAGTTGGTTTAATGAGTTAAAGTTTTAGAGATGCCTCTTTTTATTAAGTAGCAGCAGGCACAAGTCATTCTTTAGCATTATCAGAGAATGGACATTTATATGTTTGGGGGTCAAATAAAAATAGTTTATTAGGTGTTAGATTGTAAGGATAAGAATAAACACATGTTCCATAAAAAGTTGAATAATCTGAAGATCTTGAAAAATCTTGTATTGAGAAAGCATTATTTTTTAATTTAAAAAAGGAAGAATTACAAATGATGAAGGATGAAAAATTAATTACATTTGAATAAACTACATTGATGAAGATTGCCTTATAACCAAATGAAGGATAAAATCATGAATGCAAATATAAATTTGCTACTTTAGGAACTAAAAATACATATTTTATTGATAATACTGGTCATTTATATGCCTGTGGATCTAATTAAAAAGGAATGTTATGTAAAAATCCTCATAAAAAACAGAAATTCAAATAATTTATACCTTTGAAGGATCCTCCTGATATTCTATTTGAATAAACTTTCACACCAATAGAGATTGTTTATTTTCGAAACACGATTATCAGATATATTAGTTGCTAATATCAGCATTGTATAGCTGTAACTGCCAAAGGAAACGCATATTGTTGGGGATCAAATTAATATAATTAATTAGGTTTGGGATTTTAAAGTGATCATGTATTTACACCTATATTATTGGAAGGAGCTATAGAATAAAAAGTTATTGTTATGGCTATTACTGGAGAAAAGTTTTCTGCACTTTTAACAGATTAAGGAGAAGTTTGGAGTTTTGGAACTTCAGAATTTGGAGTTTTGGGTCATGAACTTAAAAATTTTTATGTTATTATGGAACCTAGAATGATTAATGATATTCCATCAATGATTAGTTTGGCTTGTAGTAATTAAACTATGTTTGCAATGGATTAGAGATAATAATTATGGGCTTGGGGGAATAATTAATTTGGATAATTAGGAATATCATTATCAAGGGATGAGGAAGAGGTTAATTTATAATCAAATAAGCAAGTAAGTAGTGAATTTTTAGAATGGAAAGCTCAATTAAAATCATTGAAGAATCCTGAAAGATATATAGTTTATTAGCCTGATAAACCAACGACCAGATCAATTACAGGAGAAGCATTTATTGATTAGATATCATGTGGTTTATATCATACTTGTATTATAACTACAAATTAAGAATTATTAACTTGTGGCTTAGCTAAATATGCAGGTCATCAAAGTTCAGAACCTGAAGATCCCGATTAATAATAAGCATAATAAGCTTAATTTATAGATGCATTTTCATCTACACTTGAACATTCAAGTAAAAAATTTAAATTGGTTGCATGTCATGAATATCATACAGTAGCTGTAACAGTTTCAAATGATCTAGTATTTTTAGGACCTGAAGGAAAAGACAGAGGACTTCATGAAAAATTTGCGAATCTATTTAAAGATGGTAAATAAATGCCTCCAGAATTATAAAATATTAAATATGTAGCATGTGGTCCTAATCATGCTTTACTCTTAAATGATTAAGGATAAACTTATACTTGGGGTGCTACTATGGGTGGTAGATTAGGATTGCATATAAATGAAGTTGGAGTTTTAGATGGATAAGAAAAATTAACCATTCCTTATCCTACTAAAATTGAATGTGAAGTTTGCAAAGATAATAAATTACAAGCAAAAAGTAAAGATAAAGATAAAGGTGCATCAACAAGTAAAAAAAAAGAAAAAAAAAAAAAAAGTTCTAAGACTAAAAAAAAGAATACAGGAAATGATTAATAATTAGATGTATCAATTGAAGATGAGGAAATTCTAGATGAAGAAAGCTTTCATTCAGAAGAAGGTCCAGGAATTAGAGTCTAAGATCCATTACAAAAAGGTTTAAGTAAATAATCATAAGATTGTGAATAAGAAAATTTATATTTATAAGATGCTGAAATTGAGAAAAAAGTTTAATTTATCTTTAAGGATTCTGCAATTTAAGCCTATGAATTATAAAAACTTTATACTGAAATTGTTTCTAAATTAAGTTGGAGTATTGATTATAGAGCTAGACAATTAGCTGCTAAAAATTTAAGTAGATAAATTACTAATCTAAAATTTTCAGTCCCATAATTTATTGTTAAAAATATTCAATTATATGAATGCATCTTTTCTTGTATGTATCATCATCCATGCTATATGATTAAATTGATTTAAGCTAATCAATTAAATAAATTTTAATTATTGAAATTTATTAAAGTAATCTTTAAAAATGATCTCATGGAAGCATAAAATTAAAGTATCATTCTTACACTTGCTATCAAATCTTTTGAAATAGAATTTAATAATGCTGCCAGTCAATTAGAATACATATCTGAGTTAAAATTATTTAAAAGCTCTTCAGTTTTTCTGTAGATATACTATATGTTTATTTAAAAGGATGAAGAAGCCTTCAAATATTTTGATGAAATTGCGAATCTTCTTATTAAAGGATTTGCATTCTCAAAAATCTTAGAAGAAGTTCATAATTTTGAAAAAAAACCAGAAGAACCTGATAATGATGATCATAAGCTTAAAAATTTTTTTAATTTTCATCAAGAAAATGCTAATAATAAAGAAATATAAGCTAAATATGATGTATTGACTGAATTGATTATATTTTATATAAAATCAATAGTAGATAGAAAAGAGAAATGCAGAATTAAAGGAGATGAAATGATATCTTCTCATATCAAATATTTGCATAATCAGATAGTTCAAATAATGAAAAAAAAAATATTGAAAGAGGAATTAGTCAGAATTACAGATGTGGTTGAAGAGGAATCAAAAGTTTAATAGAAATTAGAAAAATTTTAAGTAAAATTAGACGAAAAAATTGGATCATTTCTTTTACATCTTTATTATGGATCAATTACAGAATTTATTTTAAAATTCTAGGAATAGATTTAAAGTATGCCTGAAGAAATCCGACCATTTTTCCAAAATGATTAAAATTTAAGATAAATTTCTTAAACAATAGATAGATTTTTTTAAAAGGATGCTATGTTGCCAAATAAATACAATTAAAATTTAAATAAAATAATTTTAAGTAGAATGCTGCCAAAGATAAATTTACTCGGAATTTAAGAGGTAGCATAAGATTTACAAGGTTATGTTTAATTCAGTGTTGAAAATTTAAATATGATTGAATTAATTTAAGAATGCTTTGAAATTAAAGATCGTTATATGTAGGTTGAAATTTAAGATATTTTATTTTTATAACATTTTTATTGTTCTTAAATTTTAAATAATGGATTATAAGCTGTATCAAAATTTTTCGCAAGAGGTATGAAAGATCCCATATACATTATTTTTAGGCATTTAGAATTTAGAGAAATTTAAGTGAATATGTTCAGTACAGAAATTTTGAAAAGGAAAATAAATTTAAAGTTAATGCCAACTCCCATAATGTAATTAATAAGAAAATCAAACGATATAGGTCTATATAAATGTGAGGATTGCTCAATTTTATTAACAACTGAGTATATAACAGCAGAAAAGCTTAAATCTCTCTAAAATTTTTTTGCAAATGGCTGGTCTTGTGCAGCTGGCCATCATAATAATATAACTGTATTAGATTGTGAATCTCCTGGATGTAGTAATTTCATAACTGATCAAGCATTGAAAACTATGAGAGTTCTTAAATATTATTATAGAGAAAAAGATGATAATATAGATATGTTAGTTGAAATACTAAGTAGTATTCCTACAATTCCTAAAGGAATTAACATGTATATATTTTTAAGAGATTTACAAAAAACTAATTGGGTTAAAAGAAATTCAAGATTGACTATAAAAATTGAGCAGTTTTTGTCAAAGATTTTCCCTAGTGAAATAACTGATAAATATTCACAATCTGAACAAGAAGAAAATAATAAAGCTCAATAATAAATGACTGAAGAATAAAAAGCCGATTGGGCAGTATAAGCAGCAGCAAATAAAATTTAAAGAGAGGAAGCTTTACATAAATAATATAAGATTGTTTATGAAAAAGCAATAATATAGATGAATGAAAGGTCTTAACATAGAGCTTTATAAATTACATATAATGATTTAATTAGATAATTGGAGTTAACAAGAAGTGAAATGAAATCAGATTTAAATAAAGAAATTAAAATGATTAAACAATACTAAGACTTTATTTAATAAAATATAAGAGTATATGGTGAAGGAGAAGTTTAGTAACCAGAAAGAGCTAAAGGTTAAGCTTATGGATTTTATACATCTGCAAATATGTTCTAAGCTTAAGCCTTGGTTAAATTGACATTTTAAAATAGATAAATTCCTAAAATTTTGAAAAATATAAAATTCTATTTCTTTGGTTAACCTGATGGTGGTTGGAATATTTAATTAGTATATTTATAAGATTCGTTATTGAATTTATTAGTAACTTGTATTGAAGCTATCTATCCGATAGAATTATCACTATATAAAATTAGCATACCAATTGATTAATATTTGGAATTAAGAAGAATGGCAAAATATAGAACTTAAATCACTTTCAAATCCAAAAATATAGAGATTACTTTTAATATTGTATAATTAATCAGTATATTTAACTCATTAGAAGCAAGATTAATCAAATGAATAATTACAATAATTAATTATCATATCAATAATTTTTTGTTATATTTCTTTTTTAATCTTTAAAGGGCTTTCTAATCTTCAAATTTATTATTTGTTAACACTAATTAAAACCCTTCAAATGTTTAGTTTAAGAATTTCTCAATTAAAATAAAAGAATTGTCATCAATAGCATTTAAAGATAAATTAAGTAATTACAACCTTTAATTTCTTATAATAAACCAATTATTCTCAAATTATTAAATAGTTTCTAAGACAGGAACAATCTCTTCTGTTCCTTTCTTTTTAACTTTTTTATTTCTCTCAATTATTTAATCTCTTTCTTTTTCTTTAATTCGATATTCATCATATTCTTCTTAAGTCATTAAAAACTTGCCAACATTTTACATAATCTCAGACAATTAATCTAATGAAGTTATTTAATTTTTGGCTAATCCTAATTATTCTAAATAAATATTATCTTTAAGAGTAACTCCTATTAAACCAAAAGCTTCTTTTGATAATTAATTATCATATAAATCTAAGACTTTCAGATTTCTCATATTTTAACATAATGTTTCAATAAATGCATAATTTATTTAACAGGATCTAAAATATAATTGCTCTAATAAATGATTTGATTAAAGTAGTTGTGGTTGTACTAATTACCAATCAATGAATAATTTCTTAATTTTACATTCTGTATTGCCTATAATTTGTGCTATAATTTAATATTCAGATTGCCCTAAGTCGTTATTGCAAAATTTTAGACATTGAATTCCACTTTAAGAACAACAAAACTCAAGTAACTTTAAAGTAAGAATATCAACTTTCACCTAAATTAAGCAAATTAAATACAGAATTAAAAAAAACAATTTAAGAAGTCTAATCACTTTCATATTCTTCTGGGTTCCTAAACTTTTTATTTTCATCAAAATCATTTATGTCTAAATTTTGAACAACTTTAACAAATGTTGGATGAAGATTAATTCCTATAGACTAACAAAGAATTTGCATATTATCTTATATGTTATTTTTCATAAGTTAACTTAGTTCTGGTTTGAAATAGGCTAAAAATTGTGACGCCTAATCTAAACTTTCTTGCTAATAAATTTAATATTAATAGAAAGGACAGTTGCTTTAAGAAAAAATTGGTTCAAGTGGTCTTCTTTCTTCTTTTTTAGGTGGCATTATAATAAATAATTAAAATAATATGATTTAAATTGGAGTTTTTTATTAATGCACTAATTTAACAACAGGACTAATGACATACAATCAAAATCTAAAGGAAATAAATTCATAATTGTAAAGTGAGACCAAAGGATTATAAGAAAGTGTTGCAAAACTACACTATTCATTTGAAGAAACAGTGTTCAAAATTAATAAATTATAGAGCTAAGTATTTGAATTAGAGCAATAATTATTATAATAAAGATCAAAAACAGTGATTGAATAAAAAAAAGCGCAAGTTGCTAATTATAATTCAGAAAGAGAAAGAACTTTAAATGAACTTAGAAATTCATTATAATAACTTATATGAAAAATTTATAAATATATACAATGTTCAAATAATTATTTCACAATTAGGAATTAGAGCTTAAATTCCAAATTTTTCAATACTTATTGGAAGTATATCTTTGATAAATTGAGTTTATTCATCTTTATCTTATAATTATTTAATCTCATTTCTATTAAGAGTGAAAACTCGTAAAAGCACTTCAAAAATAATTTGCTCTCCTTATATTATGAAGATATCTAAAATTTTAGTTGAAAACTCTAATGGAGTTTTATAACTCATCAATCCAAAAAAGTATTAATCCATAAAAAATATAAATGGTTAATCCAAATTACATATTATTTTATGTAGATCTGGAAGATTATGCTTTAATAAAAACTCTAAATGTTAAACCATCGATTTTAACTTCTTCATTGATTTATTATAGGTTTACGACCAATTCATTTTGATACTGATAAATAAAAACATTTGATAGGCTTTCATTTCTCCTGAAAATAAGTTATTATTATCATCTAATAAATAAAGAAGTAATCCCATGATATAATTCATACCTTAAACATATCCAATACCCGGATCTTAATTTGCATAAGCTCTTAGTAAATAAAACAATCTCTTTTAATTTAAAGAAAAGAATTCATTTAACATCTTATCGTCGATTACTGATTTGATACTATCTAATTATTAAGAAGCTCTTTAAGCATGTTTTTTACTTTATTTTTTTTTACTTTTATAAAATTCTAAGTGAGAATGAGTTCTTTCAATGTCTCTGAAAATAACATTATCTTAAGCACAAGGATTTTATGCGAACAATTTATAATCAATAGGCGGAGGTACAGCTTTGTTTGCAATCCATGGATAAATCATCCCTCTTAAAGATGCATCAAAATTCATTTTTATCTAACATAAAACTTAATTTCTATCCATGTACTAGAATTCTACATTTTCTACAAACTCTTTCCATTAATCATTTTCCCATTTCTTTTCTGAAGCTATTATTCTTATAAATTAATCATTTGTTTCTACTTCCAAATCATGAGTATCTTATGATAATAATTACTTAAGTTTTGTATAATAATTATATAACATTTAAAAAAATTTTTAATAATCATCATTATAATAGTTAAAGAAATCTAATTAATTCATTCTTATTAATTATGATGATTATTTTTAGACGGACTAAGTGATAAGACACAATCTAAAAAGAAAAACATAATTCTAATTTATTATTAATCTCCAATTGTAATTATAAAAAAATGTCAATCTCAGTAAAATAAGCACAGAAATTATATTTAAATTTTAAATAAAGGTATTAAAATTTATGCAATTTCTTTTTATTTATTTTAGTAATTTGACCAAAATTGAAATTGAATCATAACTCTGAAAAAATTACTATATTATCAAAATTGTTCTTTCTTACAAAAATAAGATTTAAAATTGCAAAAATTACTTACACCCTTATTTAATCATCATTTATCAATATAGGGTTTTTTTTCTTAATATTAAAAGTTATTGATCAATATTTAAAACCTTTATAATTCTATGCTTTAATTCGTTGAAATTAATTTCTTATTTTGGCTGCAGTTTCTTAAATTGAGATTTAACTTTATTATAATAAATTACTGTTGAGTAATAAGAAGTAAACCAAGATTGCAACATGCCTCTAATGGGTTAATCTATATTGAGCTATTTCAATCAATCAAAAATAATTCTAAATTGAGATCTAAAATTACCAACATTCTATACTAAACCAAAAGCTTATTTATTTAGGGTAGAAAATGCCTCAACTTTAATTTAATTAATAAAAATGAAAATTTCATCACATACGAAAGAATGAAAAAAAAAATTATTTGAAAGTTTAGAAGCTTATTTCTTTTAAATTAAGATCACTTTTTTCTTTTTTTTTATTATTTATAGTTAAATTCGAAAACTCCTCTAAATAATTTTCATGATTTATTGGTCATCATCTTTTCTACTTAAAATTTATATTATTAAATTTATCCAGATCAATTAAATAGAAGTAATTAAACTATAATGAGATGATATTTTGAATAAAAAAAATTCCAAATAAAAATAATGAACTACCTGATATATATATAGTAATATTAAACAAATTAATACCCTCCGAAATTACTGAATATTTTGATGAGCTAAAGAAAATTAGATCTCATGTTTAATTAATTAATAATAATAAATAAATTTTTTTTGTATAAATATTGAGAAGAGTTCAAGTTAAAAGATATTTTGAGGGAGGTTAATGATTAGTAATTTTACAACCTATAATTGGATACGATAATTTTGTATCCACTTGATTTCTAATTAAAAAAAAACTGATTAATTTTCTGTATCTGAAATTGTATTATTTAATACCAAAAAGTTATTAAAATTTTGATTTTGTATTCAATAACTTTATATATCTATTGAAACTGTTTTTCCAAAAATTATAAGGTTGGTTTAAGCATATATAGCCATTTTTTGGAGAAATTTAAAATATCCTTGAATAGTTTAATCAAATCTTTTAAAGAGCCTCTTCTAGTGATTTAATGAAGATGAATCTAAAAAATATTCTAATAGTAAGGTTAAAGTATTTAATAAACAAAGAAAAATATAAGTTGTGCTTTTTCTGGGTAGAGAATTAAATTTTACAAGTTTTTTAACTAAATAGCTACAAATGTGATCAGCTTAACTAAATAAGAATGATAATTTTAATACTATGATTGAATCAATAAAAATAATTTATCAATATTATTTAATCAGCATTTCTAATGGTTCTATAAATAAGCTTTAATTCTCATCATTCAGAGAATCCACTGGCTTGATATATAATCGATGAGATTCTTTCTAATATACTACATTAATTTGTTTATTTGATAATTTAGCTCCCATTTCATGACTTTATGATAATATTTAATCTCCAAATTTGTCTTGAAGTATAAATTATATTCTAGAGATTTCATAAAGAATGTTTATTAATCTGCATTTTTATCTTGCCCCTTATTGCAAAGTAGAATGAATTTACTAGATATTTTCGATAGGTTGTTTCAAATGAACATTATTTTCTAATGAAAATTATAGTTTATTTAAAAAGTTGATTCTAAAATCTTTAAACTCAGGATAATACATTTTAATAATATCATTTAACAATTTGTTTTCTAATAATAGGTTATTATAATAAATAACAATATGTTTAAGCAGAAACAAAAGTTGAATTACTGAACCGATTTAAGCCAAAATCTAACCCAATTTAGGATAAGATATTTCTTCAACTATAGAAATATTATCAATTCTGAAAAGATAAGATCCATAGCTATCAAATGTATAGGAAAAATTAGACATAGAATTAATTACTTTTTTTGTAAATTATCTATCTGTTTCTTAGCTAATTAACTCATAATTATTTAAGAATTTATGATGTTTATAATTGTTAAATAATATCCCATTGTCAATAATTGTTTCTTGTTATTTCAATGTAATCTGTGAGTATAAAGGCTTATTAGTATCAAAGCTTGTGTAATATTGCTTTTTGAATTATTCTAACTCTGTAGTGACGGAATTTAATTTACTTAAGTATATTGTAATAAATAAAAATCCATGGAATTTAGAAAGGTATTCATCAATAGTATTCTCATCCGCGCAATAACTATCATCAATTTACAAACTCTCTGAGCATCTGGCAAAAACAATTGAATATTGAGTTTACTGTTATTATTTTTCATCATACTCTACAAGCGTATTTAAAACTAAACTTAAATTATTTATTGAAATTGTATATGGTTTTTCTTAAGTTGAAAATAAATGTGTAGGCTCCTCTTAAATAGTTGTATTCAAAAATTTAAATAACAGAGGAGTGATAATATTGTTTTCTTTTTGAAAAGGATCAATATCTCCTGTGAAATCTTACAGTTATAATTCAATGATTGGCTCTTATAGTTAAAATTCTGCATAGCCTAAAGTTTTTTACTATGAACTTATGGTAGGAGCAATTTAATTAGTGTTCCATAAAACAAATATGTACAGAAAATACATCAAACTTACACTACTCAAAATCAGTGTTGAAACTGCTCCAATTTTACTCTAATATTTTTCATTATTGCTGTTAGTTAATAGACAAATAGGAACTCCAAATATATCCAATTTTTCAAATTTATTCATCCAATTTGGAAAAAAAATTTTTATTTATATATATTTTTCTTAGAGAACATATTGAAATGAAACATAACAATAATAGTATTTACCAAAATTATGTTCAGGAGGAAGGCTTGAGTTACTGAGGCCATAAATGAACCTCATCCTCGATCAGATTTTAAATCTAAAGTTGAAATAAATGTATTCTTAATGGAGCAGAAAAAAATAACAATGAATTACTACTTTTATTGAAGAATAAGCATTTTCATGAGGTAGATAAAATTACAATTTATTTTGAAAATGTTGAAATTTCTGTAGAAAATATGTATGGCTAAGTAAATAAAGGAGGGAGCTCGTGTTTTAATTAAGAAGTGATCTTAAAATCGATAAAAGCTACTTTTGATGTTTTAAAGTGAATACAAGATAATAATTTTAAAAATCTATTGCATAATTTTAAATAAAAGATGGGTTATGCATTATTTAGTTTCTAGTATTGTTGAAGGAAATAGAATGAATTAAGTAATAAAGAGTAGAATTAATCTATTATGCCTCTTTTATTAGAAGCAAATCGCATTTTGACTGGTATTGTATCTTAAAAACCCATCCAAAATCACATAATTTTAATGTTTTATAAAAAGTAATGGAAATGTGTATAAAAAAAAAGGGTAAAAATGAAAAAGTTAAGGGATTATAAAAAACAAAGGGTAAAATTTCAAAAAAGTAAAGAGAAAATGGTTAGGCCCTTTTAGAAAAAAATCAACGCCTTATGAATCCCTTATATTCTTGTGATAAAGTATCTATACTCATTTAGAAGGCCTCATGAACCCCAATCATTACCCTTTTGAATCATAAATATATCATTCTTATAAGGCTTAAAAGATTAAGACATAATATCATTAAATTTAATGACTTTTTAAACCATAACTGAATCTGAAGTGGTCTGAACCATCTATAGTATATCCTTAAGTCCCAAAAGATGAAAAAGTATAAGGGGGTATATAAGGTAAAACCCTGTCGACAACCCCAAGGTTATGGGTTTGCCTGCTAGAAGGTTTGTCTCAGAGGTCACATAGTGTTGTATATTCTAACCATGGTGTTGAATCTGGGATATTTTATTGTGTGACAAAAAAAAATTTTGAAAAAGTTTGAGAAAAAAAAATTTTACTTGCCAAGCTATTTTATTTCTGTTTTGGCCCTCAAGCGGTATACCACATACAGATTCTATTTTCTCTTCTAGAATCTGTGATAGCCCAATTGTTGTGCTAGTCTGGATTTGGTCCAGAATTGTCTCTAAAACTGTTTCCCTAGAACGACAGTATTAGGGTTGGGGATGATGGAAAAAACTGAATTTTGAAGAGTTGCACTATCCAAATACAAAAAAATTTAAAATCTAGATTTTCAATAATATTACATAATATGTAAATAAGAGATTGTAAATATTATTAATAACAAATAATAAAATAAAAAAGGATAAAAAGTAAATCGCAAAAAAAATAGGATTAAAAATACAAAAATTATTCAAAAAAAATTTAAGAAATTTAAGAAGGTTATTTTTGAGGAATGAACCATTATTTTAAAATTTTATATGTTTATTAAAATAAATTGTAATAATAGACTTGATTAAATATTTTATTTATATAAATTTTAACAAATTCAAAAAATTTTTGTCATTGTTAAAAATTTTATTCATTAGAAACTATATAAATAGTAATAGTATTAAATTAAAAAAAAATTTGATCAGAGCCACTCACTTTTAAAACATTGGTTAAAACTCAATTTGAGGAAGCGATTTGAACTTTGAAATCAAATTTTATATTTTAATTTTTGGATTATTTTTTTGATATTAAACTTGATGGACTTTTCAAATTTATTATATAGTGCAAAAGAAACAGAATAATAATAATAATAATCAATTGAAGAAAAAGAATAAAGTATTGTCGTAAATTTTAATCATAAAGAATCAGAATTAAAAAAAGAGACTTAAAAAATGAAAAAAGGATAATATGAATAGAAATATGAACATTTTGAATATTAATTATTCATAATTGAGAAAAATAATTCATTTAGAAATAATGTTATTTTATTTCTCAAATTTATCCTTTAACATATTATTATGTCTTATTTTATGGAGTAGTTTATTTTGATGAAACTGATTAGAATTTTGGAATACTTTGTACAAAATTTTTATAAAGTTAAAATTGGCTTAATCATTTTTTTAGTTGCATTATATTTATAGATTGCTTATTAAATAATTTACTGATCATATTAAAAGATATTTTGATGATATTTGGAGATAAATGTAAATATTATTTGGGTTATTCTCATTATTTGATAAATACATATTTATTTTATTTACCTTTATATGAGATATGGCAAGTTGAGATTATTATTTAGTTAAGAGTTTTTATTTTAAATAGATGTTAAAGAATGTCTTTGATTATATAATAATTTTGATTTTTCATCATAATTAAATATCCAATATATGTACTTATAATTTGAGGAGGTAGAAACCTTTTGCTTATAAAGAGATTAATTAGAAGGTCTAGATAAAATATATCTATGTTACTTAAAAAAATAAAAAATATTTTTTATTATTAATTTATATAATCACTAAAATTAGTACCAAATCTTTTGAAATATAAAAATATTGAGTTTATAGACATTTTGTTTAATTATTTTATATATATTTATATATATGATAAATTTAATAAATATAAAAATAAAAAACAAACTTTAAATCAATTTTATAATGATTTAATCAAGAATATCAAGGTTTATATTCTTTTTATTAATCTAATAATTATTATATCTGTTGTGAATCATTAAGTTATTGAAACAGATAAATAGCATCCAATATTTGGAAAAATAAATCATACACACAGATCAATCTATTAATTTTTATCTCTTCTTGCAGAAACTCGATATATATAAAAAAATTTATAATCATTTTAAGTTTTTTTAAAATTATATAAATAAAGTTGCTTTAGTAAATCAAAATGAGGTAAATCATTTTTTGAAAACAAAAAAGAATGGATTAATTGTACATTTAACTAGACTTAAAGAACTAATCAAAGTTCTTTCAATAATCCTACATTTTGATAAATAATTCTCTTTATTCTATATTGTAATAATCAAATATTTTTAGAGTTTAATAGTCTAAAATAACTTTTAGATATCTTTAAATTTTAATTTAATTTAACCTAACACTCGAAACTGAAATCTTAAAGATATATTTAAAATGAATCCATCTTAAAATTATATTCATAATACTGAAAGTTTATTTAATGGAGTCTCTTTTGATTTTAAAGAAATAATGAAACCATTTACATTAAATGGTTGATAAAGCATTATATCTTAGGAAAACAATCCTAGGTATTTTATTTAATTAGAGAGACATAAAGAAAACCCAATATTTTTGCTTATAAAAACAAAAATATCAGAAATGGAATTGAATAAAAATATTATCTAGTATTTTTGACAATTTTTAGTAACTAATACTGCTTTTAATTTAAATAATTATTATTAAAATTAAAAAAGCCATGTGAAGCAACATATAGTACAATTCGTATACTTTGCAATAAAAAAACATAGATAATCAAAATGTTTTATTTTCAATAGAATTTTAAAACTATTAATTATTATATGAATTTATGAAAATAACTTAATTTATAAATTCTTAATCATTTCACTTTGAATAAAAGGACTTTTCAACATTTTTCGTTGATAATAATTTCAAAACAATTTAATTTTTTTAGATAAATTATGATATAATTGTTTATTTTTATATTAATCATTTTCTATTTGAATATGATAAAATTGAAAACAAGTTTTATAACCATTGTTTTATTATTTTAACTGAATAATTAATGAGCTTTCAAGAGATTTCATTAAAATTGAGGTAACAAGTGAATAAGTATCAATAATGTATTATTAATTTTAATTAAATGAATGCAAATTCATTCTAATAATTTTAATCTAATCAATTTAAAACAAATTATCATAATTACTTATATCCAATTTATTGTATATGCATTATATTTAAAAATATTATAAATTCTATAAGTATTTACCAAATATATATTCTCTTGAAAATGCTTATTTAAAAAAAATACGCAAACCTTTAATACTTTCGAGTATAATTTATGTAATTTTCAGTGTTAAATATTAATAAATAATTTTATAATTTTTATTCTAAAACAAATAATTAATATATGTGTAATTAATGCTCTTAAATTCCCATAATAAAGATTTATTTATTAATTTTAAAAAATCACAGTATAACCTAGATATACACACACCTTAATTAGTTGAATTTGAAAAAAGTTTTGAAAATGATAAAAAAAGTTCAATATTATGCTGAAGAATAAAATAAAAATATAGAACTTGCAGCAGTAGCTATTTCAATTATAAATTATATACCTATTACTTCAAAGTTTAAAAATTATTGAATAATAAGAAAATAAATTCATTTTCATTTTTTTTATTGTTTGTTTATTTATTATAAGTTAGCATAAACGAATAAAATCCCTTCTGTTTTAATTTACTATTGAGTGACTCATTAAGAATGATACATTTTTCTTCTTTTATCTCCACATTTTTTGAATTTTTTCTCTTTTCTTTAATTTATGACTTTTTTCATTTCAAAAGGCAATTTAAGTTTTCATCAAAGTATTTTGTTTCACTCTTTTTCTTGATTTTACTTTTCTTCTCTAAAAATCAATTTTCAAATTCTTAGGATTAATTTTTCTTAATTATTTCTTAAAATTTTAACCAAAATAATCAACAAAATTTAATCCAAACCTAACATATATTAAATCATATTTAAATAAAAATAAATAATTCTAATAATATTTTACTAATTATAATTCATTTTTATTTCATGTTTCCTTTATAGCACCTAATTTGATATTCTTTTGAATTTGAGTCCCAAGTAATTAGATACTATCCATCATCAGTCATACATGCAAAAATCTCATGTGTTTTAAATGGAATAGATTATTCAACTATAAACTCACCATTTTAGTTTCTCCTTATTAAACTTATATTTTAACTATTCTTAGTAACAAGAATACATTTTTATTTTATATATTTTTAAGGAAAGTAATAACAATCTAAACCACCATTAAATAGAATCTTTTTTGTTCTAGTATACTATTTATTAGTATTATTCATCTCATAAACGTTCATATAATGTTCTCCCCAATGATATCCTGTGAATGTATTATTATCAATAAAACATAATCGAACACCTGCATATTCCAATTCTATTTTTTATATAACAATCCATTATTTTTTCTATATCGATTATTCTATTACTAAAATTAGTTTATCTTATCTGCAAGATATAATTTTATTTTAATCATCATTTATACTTAGTCCATCTCTATCTTCATTATGATCTGTAATAGTCTATGAACTCAACCATTAATTTTCCTTAATCCAGAATTTAATAGACTTATCATCACTTCCTGATATAATAGTATCTTCATTATTGTTTAATATCAAACAGTTAATATAACTTGTATGTCCATTCAATTTCTATTAAGAGATCCATTAATTATTATTATTTCTTACCCATATTATAATCTAACTATCACAACTTCCTGATATAAAATTATTCGTTCTCTTCATGAAATTTAATGTGCTTATATTTCCTGCATGTTCAGTTAATAGTTAAACTTATTTTAATATTCCTTAATTAAATTCAAATAATTTTATATATTAATTACATCCAGCAACCATTATTGAACAATTATTATTAACTGCAATTGCATAACAAACTTCATTTTGTTTAATAGGAGATTATTAAATTTATTAATAAGTAAAAGGTTTAAGATTTGATTAAAGACTAGATTTAATCATTTAAAATGGTGGAATATTGATTAAAGTATTTGCTGAATTTATATCTTAATTTTATTGATATATTTTGATTTATTATTCTTATTCAGTCTGAGTAAATTGTTAATATCCTAATTCTAAACTTGATAAAAGTTCCTTACATTTATTATATTCTTTAAATTAATTAAATTATTCTAATTTCGGATACACTTTTGAAGTCCAACATAGATTGGTTTTCCAAATTTGAATTAATTATTTGTTGCAATAAGTTTAATTTTCCTTCAATAACATAATGTCTAATTCATCATAAAAACTATATTGAGAATATTGTTATTATAGATTCTGAACCCATCCCATCATTATACTTATCAGTTAGTCTAATTATTAGATTAATTGTTATTTCATTTGGTCAATAATACAATTTAATGATTCAATTAAATTTATTTAGTTACTTATGGTGTTTTATACTTTTTCCATCTTCTCTACCTAATTTTCTTCAATTAAGGAAACAATTTAGTTTAATCCAATAGCCTTGCCATCTATATTTGTATTCTCTAAGCATTCTGCGCACAAAAGTCTTTCATTTCTTGGTAGTTTTAGATCTAGTACAATTTTTACTATTGGTAGTTAATGTCCTTGGGATCAAGAAAAATCTTTCTCATTTTCTATCATTTTTGGTTTAAACATTTAATTAAATAATAAAATTAATTGAGAAATTTATTCCCATTAAGATTGCGTATTGTTCATAATTTAAGCAAAAAGGTAAATCTCATAAATTTAAATGCTTTTTAGCAATTAAACCTTGTTTTTAAAATTAATAAGTAAGCAGTTTATTCGTTATTGTTGTTCGCAATTAATTCTTGTCATTAACAAAATCATCACCTGCAACATTGTTCATTGATTAAAGTAATTTACAGTTTTTTATGCTATTCTTCTCATGTATAAAATCAAAAAAGTAATTTCCATATTAACTAAATACTAATCATCACTTTCTATATGATTCTAAAAAATTAAGCCCCTTTTAGTGCATTTTCCTGATTTTAACCTTTTTACTTCTCTTTTAAATCATATATAATAAAATCGCTTATTTTTTGGAAGTCTTCTATAATCAGATAGATCAATTATATAATTATTTTCTCTAAATTCTTATGGGCATTCAAAGGGAGAATTATATTATTGAATCTCTCTCCATTTTTTATATATATAAGACTTCCTGACTTTCCATCATATCATATATTTTTATGTTGATCGTTCTAAAAGTTTTAATTTTAATTTCTTATTTATTGTAATAAAATTGAACTATTTTTATGTGAAATTCGATATTTATGCATCTGGTTCTAACAAATGGCTTTTGTTCAATCGTGAGAACAATATTCTTATATTTTCTGTAATATTATGCTAAGAAATATATAAAATTATATATCGAACAGAAAAAACACTTACGAATTCCTTGTATAATTTCTAAACATAAAGTTTGCAAAATTTTTAAGATCCTGATAAATATACACTTATTTATTTAAGAACTTAGAAGTTCAAAACAAAACTATTAACAATAAAGGAAAAATTCCTATCATTATACAATTTATTACTATTGATTTCTATGTTGTTTCCCTGCATATTCTTTTACAATAGAATCCATTATTAAATAAAATTGGGCTAGACAATCATTTGAATATTATCTGATACAAGTATGTATAAGAAGATCGAGTTAGCAGAATTTTTAATTTTCTGTAATATCAAAATTCTATTACATTTATCAAAATCAACATAAAATTGCAAATTTAGTTTATATTATAATTGTTGTCAAATCTGATTTATTCAAATCTAATATAGATTCTTTTTCACTTGAAGCTGAGATATGACTTTATCTTGATCCTAGATTTATGTTGAATATCTGTCTTAAATTTCATTTATAGTTAGTACCAAAATATTTAAATATTAAGGTAATAATTTTTAAATGAAAATAAACTAATATACATCATTTCAAACTAATTATTTAATTGTAAGCAATTCCATTAAATCAAATTAATGAATATAGAATTAGATGTTTGTTATATAAATGGGAGAGCAAATTGAAATTTCTCATCTTTTATATTTGTCGATAAATTATTATGCTTATTTTACAAATAGAAGGTTTGTATTATTTTAGTAGGTAATGTGATGCTTTTAAATACTTTCAATAATCAATTTGAATATCTAATTTAACAAATCTTAAATTATAAATGGATTTTTCATTATTCCAAAAATAATATTTTAATTTATATATTAGATGAAAATTAGATTTGGAGAGTACATTCTTAAAAACTAGAAAAAAGTTTAACAGAATCAAATATAATTTAACAATAGATGCATCATTCTTTAAAGTATTTATGAATTCATTCTTGGTCATCGGAGAATTTATATTATTTAAAAGAAGAGTTCAAGGATAAAATATTATATATCAAAACCTTAGTTAAAAACAATAAAGGATATATTACAAAACAAAAAATACGTTAAATTATCATTTATTATAACTCCTTAATAGATATAATAATTTGATATTAATGATTCCAGCTAGTTTGAATTTATTTAGATTATAAAAAACTTAGATTAAGACTTGATTAAATTGTAAAGTTGCTGCTAACTTTAAGATTCTAAATTTTTAAATTTTATGATTTTGAATTATCAGTTTGATAAATTATCAGTTTGATATGCTTGAAGGTGAGTAAATTTTTATATAATAAATTAATAATATCATTGCTTAAACTAAAATTTCAATAAATAACTTGCTTTCAAAGCCATCAATTAAAAATGAAGCATCTAAATTCTCTATATCTGAATTTGTTAAATATATTAATTATATCAAACTTAAATTATAATTTATGCAGAAATTTCAAATAGCATTATCTTTAATTTTAATTTGATTTACAACTTAATCTCCTATAATACCAGCATCTAATATGTTATATTGGGGTTAGGAAAGGAATCTGAATAAAAGTATATTTATAAAATAAACTAAAAAAATAAGTTCATTATTTTCAGCCATCAATAACAGAAATTAAGGATTTAAAAATCGAAAAATATAATTAAACAAATTTTACTGTTTAACAATTTGTGTAATTTAATTAGTCTAACTTCAAAGCAATAATATCAAATATTTGAATATTTATGATGAATCTCTGATTCATTTATTAATATCAAGTTAGGTATATATGGTGAATTTAGTTTGATTAATACTTAATTAAACTTGACTTTTGAAAATGAAATTTCTACTGATATGCAAATCCTCGAAGAAAATCCTCGAAACT